TGAACACAGTGTTCAAAGTGTGGTCTCACCAGTGCCGAGTAGGGGGGTAGGGACAATAACTTCCCAACTCCTGCTGGCCACACTATTTCTGATACAGGCCAGGATGCCATTGGCCATCTTGTCCACGTGGGCACACTGCCGGCTCGTGTTCAGCCGGCTGTCAGCCAGCACCCCCAGGTCCTTTTCCTCTGGAAAAGCCACTCTTCCCCAAGCCTGTAGCACTGCATGGGGTTGTTGTGGCCGAAGTGCAGGACCCGGCACTTCGCCTTGTTGAACCTCATACAGTTGACCTCGGCCCATCCATCCAACCTGTCCAGGTCCCTCTGCAGAGCCTTCCTACCCTCGAGCAGATCGACACTCCCGCCCAACTTGGTGTCATCTGCAAACTTACTGAGGGAGCACTCAATCCCCTCATCCAGATCATTGATAAAGTTATTAAACAGAACTGGCCCCAATACCGAGCCCTGGGGAACATCAGGTTTTCCCCGTTTAGTATGAGTTTATAATGTGAAGTATCTTCTAGTGGCCAGTGATGTCCAAGAGTGTTTGGAGTATTTATGGGATGAATGATCTGAGTATTGAATCTCTGTCCTTAATAAGATACCGTATGGGTTGGGAGATGAATCTCTTACCTCCTAAACAAGTGCCCTAGCCATTGGGCTTCTGGAGATACATGCAAGAGTGTTCTACAGCTTTGACTAGAAATGTTAATTATTTTAATGAAATGCTCTTATATCACAAGGTAACAAATAGCTATGTCGTTGCCTCTTGGAGATAATATATACTAGGCAGTGGCTAGCATTTGAAATACAGTGCAACCAGCCTTTCTAAATATATTTTCCTGCTTCACAATTTCATTGTTCGCTTTCTTCTCATCTGCATGTAGAAACCTTTTAATCATTTGGGTTTGAGGGTGAGCATTAATATTGTTCTTTGGTTTTGTGGTGAAATCTGATAAGCTGTGTATTTCCCCTGGTTTTTGACAAAATTATATATTTATTGCCTTGTTTGAAATTCAGATGCACTCAGCATTTAATCTGAGCCCATTTTATTTCTGCACATACCCCGTGGTATTTCTTTATGCTTGATGAGTTTCTCTGGAGATTTTTTGAAAAGCTTTGAGATTGACTGCCAGGTACTACAAACAGGTTCATTCAACACCGCAATCAGCTATTCTATTAATGGAATCAATTTGAATAAATTTCATTAAGTAAAAGTCCTAAAAACAAGAGATGGCATATCATACAGGAAGCTTGTAAGAACTATTTTGTAGGGGTTTTAGTCCAAAAATAAGATCCTGGAAGCAGTAGGATTTTTTTAATGGTTTTCTTTTTTTCCTGTGGAAAATAAGCTTTATAATAGGCAGTGTGACGTCCCTGTTCGTGGACAGGCTTTATTACCATTTCAGATCAAGTACATTCCTTAGAGTACAAATAATTTTGAACTATTTTGTTAGCTTGAGTCACTTTGATAGAATTAAATCGTATCTGCAATTTACCAAATTTTACAAGGCCATTCCACTGCATTTTTTCAAGTGCTGCATTAAACAGTGTAGCCATTGTATTGTACCTGTGGTAACTCCTCTGGGTAGAGCACGCTGTCATGTTAGGGTCTGGGTTGCAAGGACTGCCTGGGGTCTAATATCTGGATGATTATGTGTTCAGATTAAAGTAGCCCGTGGCCAGTGGTTCCCTGAACACTGAAGAGAAGTTAGTATTTTCATAGTCATCACTGGCGGTGGTTTGTTTTGTGATCCTGGACCACAGATAAGACCATTAAATGCAGGATTTGTGTCCTACACAGAGAGAATTTGTAATAGAACTTAAAGGGAAAGTGTTCAGTCCTGCTAAAAATCACTGTCCCAGGGACTTACAGCACCTGACCTGTTGCTTTGCGTGCCAGTTTGCAACATATGTGAGATGTAAAGAACAGACTGCTTAGTCCTGCTTCGCCTCCATGTATTCACCCAGCATTTTCATTTTTAAAGGGACTGTTGATGTGAAAAACTGCTCCTGGAATTCTAATCCCACTTTCTTGTCCTTTCATACACCAGTTTCAGCAGAGAGCCATGAAGTATTTTGCAAACAAATAGTTAAGCACCTTTGATCTAAAGATAACTTGGCCCATCACATTAATGAGGTGATGTAGGTAAGTAATTTTGTGGGAACAGGACCTAATCACATTTTGCCTGGGTAACTATGTACCCACTCTGGTAGTGCCAAAGGTAAGTATACGATATAATTTGAAGCTGCAGGAAGTGCAAGCAGAACTCTATTCACTTGGTCTTTAAACAAAATGGCATGAAGCAAGTAACAAAATACCTTCTTTATGTTCTGCGCAAAAGATTTCCTAGTAAATAATAATACAGAGCTGTCAGCATGCCAGGGAAAAGCTATCAGTTCTGCAGCAAAATGTGTTGCAAAGTGATTTAGCTGCCATAGGTGGAATTCTGTTTAAGAATAGAGTTCCTTAACACCCTGCCTGAGATCTTTTGAGATTGCAGTAGAAAAGCCACAGACTCCTCTAGACTGCTTCTGAACTATTTCAGACCCAAGAGAAATTCTTATATCCCTGAACACCCAGTAAAGGCAGGAGAATTAGCTTGTCCTGAAAGGCTAGTAAAGCTCAGAGAAGAGATGGTTTACAGAGATAGAGTGATTGTTCTTTAAATGTTGTATGGGATATGGAGATTAGAAACATAGGATCTCTGAGCTTATGTTAAATCCCAGAATTTGGAGACTTGAATTTTAAAATAAATAGCAGCAGAAGAGTGAATTCAAACAAACCATTTTGCATTAGTGTTGGCAAGCTAAGCCAGGCCCACAACTACACAGATGATCAAGATGGTGTAAATCCTGCCTCTTGTTGTAACAGGAACTAGTAATTCTAATAATTAAGGAGTAGGGGAGATCCATCCTTCAGCACGGGACACACCTGTGTAGCAAATGTTACCCTAATGATACTGTCATGTTCAGATTGTGAGCAATCGCTAGAAATGGGAGAAGTGTTACCAGAAATGAGGTATCCAATTGTTGGGTCTTTGATTACTAATTCTCATACTTATGCCCGGTACCCAGTTTCAGAAACTTGTAGCCCAATTTACAAGAATTCAGAACACTTTGAGATTAAACAAAGCCAGCGGGCGCCAGATTCTGAAAATCCTGTGTGCTTTAAACAGGTAAGAGTGGAAAAAAGCAAGACAGCTCATCTCGAAGGTGTAGTGAACACTTGGTAGTGTTGTGCCTCAATTTTATCCATAAGAAGAGGTTAATGCAGAGAGCTCTTAAGATAAGCTATTTATTGTTTGTGAAACAGCTCGTTAATACCATGATTAGCATCCTAGAGGGATCCCAGGAGGAAAATAATAATTTAGTATTCAGTGCACAGTTTGGGTATTTTAGAATAAATGAGAAATACAAAATAAAGATTTTTGAGAAATCTATCCATTCAATGAGTTTTGATAAACCTAAACACAGAACAGGTAAAGGTCCTGTGGAAACAGTACATGAACCCAAAAATTGTCATTATGGGGGCACAGAACTAGATTTCACATGCAACCTAAGTTCTGGTCATTCTCTATTTCTGAGTTCTTGACTTTGCAATTTAACATCCTCTTTTGGTTTTGGGGGTTTCTTCTTGGCTTATTTTCTTTTTTACGATACCACATCTAGCAGTTGGAATGGGTTCTTGCACAGTAGTACATTATACCAATGTGTCTCCCAGAAAAAGACAAGTCCACTAGAACTTTTCTTGTCTATGAGCTGCAGACCAACGGTTTTGACATTTAGATAAATATCTCTGTGTTTCTATTGAGAGGTTCTAGATTTTAATCACTTAAGAGATTGTAATTAAACCTATATTTAAAGAAGGCAACAGCTAGAAGACTTGGCTTATTTTTGCAACAGGAATGCTGAAAAGTGTTTTAAAAATAATAGCTGTATTTTACGGCAAAGAAAGAAATGTAAGTGTTTTCAAGAGGGCTAACACTGATTTACAATGAAAGCAAAACCAAGTAGGCAATAAAGCTTTTTGGACTGGTAAGATCATGGGGAACTCACACAAAAATCGCTCTTCATACTGCTGGAGTACTGCAGTGTCCCTGTGACCTTTCCGATGTGTCTTTGTTTTCTCTCTTCTGCTGGGGAAAGCTACCTGCCCTCATGCCTTCTCCTCAGGGATTGTCTCAAATTGTACCAAGTTTGCAAACACAGCTCGTATCATCACTGTGTATTTGACAGTGAAATTATGTGTTTTGAACAGACTTTTTAGCTTGGATGCCACCTGACTAAATCACCCAAACTCCTCTTGCGAGTGAAACAGCCTCAGTAATTGAAAACCACTCATACGGGACTAGTTTTAATAAAACCACCAGAAGGTATTTGTTTTCCTAGGCTTGAACCTGTTCTGCATCAGAAGGAATTTGAATAATTCTGTCTTTCCAGAAGGCATTGAAGAGTGTCATATTTCAGAGCACCAACTATTAACATGGCTAGTGTCGATTTTGTCTAACTAAATGCCATACTGTCTCTTTTAACTCTTCCTTCTTTCTTGCCCTCATTCATTTCATATCAGCACCTTTGAAAATGTGCCTATGAGGTGGTGTGCTACACCGGATTGTTTCCACAGCAACTTTCAAAATAAGTGTTTTTATAACACATCGCCATAGCCAGTAAAACAAGATATTCTTTGTACTGTAGTTGCATGTGGGCAACAGTTAGGATTCAAGGTCTCATGTGCTCATGCCACTAATGCATTTTAGGTACCGTTGTGTGCCTTGTACCAAAACATTTAAGTTGTTGCATCTACAAAACCTGGTCTTTTTAACTCAAGCATTAGTGGCATTGGATTTTAGCTCTAGGGGTCAGTCACCAGCCCAGTGTCTTCAGTGGGACATGGTTCCCTCACTGGCATCATGGAGACATGCAACGAAACAGCTCCAGAGGGCTGGAAGGTTCACTTTCTCACCTGTCTCTCTCTGTCCCTCTTTGTCTCTCTGTTAGGAGCTGTACTCTAAAGCTTCCCATGCTTTAGCAGAGTTGGTGACAGAGCTGTTTCTTCAGACCCTGCCTGTTGTGACAGGCCTCTCTGTAAGACAATGTGAGCTTCTGAAAGAGGAATGGCAGGAGAATTTGGTCCCTCAGCTGGAGAAATGGGAGACCCACCGCCAGAGACGTTGGAAGCTTTTCCAGGAACAGCTATTGCAAGAAAAAAAAGTAAGAAAGACCCTTATTACGTTCTGGGACCCCTGGATCTAAAAACAGGGATATGAAAAAAAAAATATCAAGATACTTACCTGTGGGGAGTATTTTTCTATAAATATACAGCCCAGGTCCAGACACAGGATGAGACTCAGGATGGGCAGTTTGACCTGCAGTATGGAGTGAACATATATGCTGTGCATGGAGACTTGCATAGTGGAGTCGGAGAGTAATTACTGAACATCTGTCGACAATGTTTGACAGCTTTGTCAGCACATAAACATTTTTTGGGAAGGCTGCTGTCTGATGTCCTCAACTCTTGAGCATCTACAGAAACAGTTCAAAAAAAACCCTTTATCTAGTCTGTTTGGAGAGGGTGCATATGAGTACAGTTTACAGGAAAGGAGGCCTTACAATGATAAATATTTCTTAATCATTTTTAGGTATTAATACTATAATGATTAGAAACATATGATACACACTTTATATAAAACTTATTCCTTACTCTGAGGAAGTGGAGAAACACACATCCAGCTTTCTTGCTCTGTTTGTGCCCAGAGTAGGGGGCATTGAGACCAGAGGAGAAAAGCAACAACAGTAAACGCGGAGGCAGGTATCTTCAGCATTAGGGTGGAACTCAAATATACCCTCAATTAATTCATGCAATGCTATGTCTCTGTTAACACTGCTTTGAAGACTAACACAGCTTAGTCAAAGAAAGACCTGTATACAAAGGTGTGCCCTTTCCCAAATGTCAGGTGTGTGCTGCAACATATAGAGTAACTGGAGCTTCTTAAATAAAAGGTTGGCAGAGTTCTTTAACACTGGCAAAATCATACTTTTCCCTAGCCTCGTTCTCCAAAGTGCCGGGAAAAAATCCAGTACGTGGTTAATAAGGTGCTGATTGAGTCCCTAATTATTACAGACTGCTATAAGTTGTTTAACTTTTCCACCCGCTCATATTTAGGGTTATTCCATAAAACCCTGTGATTCAGGAAACTGGGCTTCCTACTAAATCTGGTAGAGTGGTTTGCTGACCAGTGGTTTTAGAACACCCGTGGAAATACAAAAGTAACATTATTCGTTGGAAATTCTTAGTCATTTCCTTTTTTTCTTCTCTATTTTCCTTAATCTGGAGTTATACAACATGCACCTCCCTGATCATTTTATATTTACTTTATTGTAACTCACCTGTTATCTCAACTATTTTGAAAAACAATTCTGCTTGCCTTTTCTGTTTCTGTGTCACAGGGATATCTAGCAAACTAAACTAAAATACGCTTGGAACCGACCACTGATGCCAATGAGTCTGCTCACATGCTTTAAGATAAGGGTGGGGTTTTGTGTTTTCTAGGACTGCTGGCTGGCATTTAGTGTTTGAATTTGGCATACCTATACCTTCAGTGATTAATGAAACAATGTCTGACCTCAACTGTTTTTTATTTTGCCCCTTTTTATCAAGGATTAGATTCAACACCTGACTTGGCAAGCTTAAACCTCTAGGTTGCTGTTCATTTTCACGTTCACCGATGGTTCACAAATTGCCTGTCCTTTTATGTGAATGACCTGAGCAGCCTGGACTAGTAGGTGCACTACAAGCATGTGTCATAGTGCATGGAGATCAAAGCACCATCATGGTATCTGCTGTCATTAAAAACGACAGTCAGAGAAGGAGGAGGTTCTGGTGTGCAACTTATGATTAGTCTCAGAAGTCAGAGTGCATATTAGGGCACCTCTGCTCCGGTCCTTCCACTGTCCCATTGAACCTCAGCCATTGTTCAGGGCCAGAGAGGGTGTTTTTCAAGGGCTAGGACACTCTCCACAGAGGGGGAGATCTCAAGTCTAAAGTTTTGTTCCAAAAATGCTGTTTATGCATTCCTCTGTTACTATCATTGAGCACAGTATTGAGTGGAGAAAGCATACCCTGGGATTTTTCCTCAAGGGATTAAAAGGGTTAGTTCATCTCCAGCACCCAGTTGCTGGATAATAGCTCTTTGGGCAGCACTGTATGATGGATTCACTGTATGTGAATGCAGATGTTCCAGTCATGCCCAAGCATAAGTTATTTAAACTAGAAAGTTGACTTTCCATCACTTTCAGTGTACTCTAGCATTCATAATACAAAGCAGATGGCTTCCTAGCTGAAAAAAAAAAAAAAAGAATAAAGGATTTGCTTACATCATTAGCAGTAATTACTGAGCTATAGAGGAATTCATTTAGCAACGACAGAGCACTCACGTTGGTCGCTGGGTCACCAGCACTGCAGCTGGGCCTTATTCAATATAAAAATTTCCTGAGTAGCAGACAGCTGTCCTAAGGATGAGAGATTCTGTGGGATAAATTACTAGAAGAGACAGGGGTTTCTCCTAGTGGGAAAATGTGTGATTCCTCAAGACAATATTCTTTGCAGGATCTTAAGTAGCTTTTTTAACTTAATGCAGGTGGCTTTTTGGAAGTGGTTTGAATTAACTGGAAAAAAATCTGCTATATCTCCAAAGAGAGCATGCAGGGAGGTAGCTATCCCACCAAAGCTAGGCTGGCAGATTTTTCTGTCTAAACAAGTCTGAAAAACACCACACACTCATTATATTACGTTCAAATGCATTTCTTGGCCCTTTCCTAGTATAGACACAGCAGCATGCACATTTAAGCAGTAAGCTGACACTTGTGTCCTACAAGAAGGAGCACTTGGTTTCCACCTTAAGAAAAGAAGAAGAGAGATCAGACACTTGTGACAGGTGATCATGTCATTTAGGAGATCCCATAGATGTTACAGTGCTGAATATGACAGAAGATCCATAAATCAACATTCATATTGACAGGTCTTTTAATTTATCAGGCATTTTCCAGCAGGAGATATGTCTTTCACTTGCCTCTTGATAAATGTACTACACTGAGTTACGTAGTCACCTGCTTTACAGACTTGGGAAGTCTAACACCAGAAGGCTTTTCACCAGGGTATTTATGTGTGCTTTTCAAGGTGGCTCAAAAAGACATTTTTCCCATTTATTTGAACTGCTTTTTTTTTTTTTAGGTTATCTTTCCTAGCATTTATACATACCTGGAATATGATACCCTTTGGGGGAACAGAATCTCTTTTAGAATTGAAAAGAAAAAATCAGTTTCATATTTAACTTTTGCCTTATATGCTTGAGGATGTGAGTGAGGCAAATGAGAATAAATGACTAATGAAAATAAATTTTGAGCATTTTCCCACATAGCCCCTACCTCATGATTTCTGTAGACAAGCTCTCCTGCCTGGGCAGCGATTATGGGGAGCAGACTGCTGCACCAGGCTGAGGTACTTGCTTGCCATTCAGTGTGCATCACACCCCATCTACAGGCTGTTAGGGAGAAATTGCTTTCCTTTGATTTCTTGAGAATCTGTGCTAAAAGTGTCAAACTGAGAGCTGCAGAAAAAAAAGTGAGCTTATTTGGGTCTAATTTGCTGTTGTATCTGAGGTCTAACTCAAAATATTTTATGGGTTTCATTACCTACCAAAGACATGCTCCTCACCTTTATTGCCAGAGAGTAATACTTAACGTTAGCAGTGCTCCAGAAGGTCTTGTAATGGATTTTTTGCCAGGAAGCAAAACACCAAGAAGCTTACAGAGAAAAAATGGGGTGAAGAGATTTCCGTCCATTCCCACATCATTGCTTGGCACCCAGAAAGCTGAACCAGCATCTGCTTACCACTTTTGACATGGTGTGCATTTTATTGCTTTCTCTTAATTATATACACATTTTTTCACAGTGATTGGAATAACTCTTCTTTTCAAGAAGCCAGACATTCCTTGGAGCTTTACTCCCCATTTACTGTGCTTTTGTCACTGGTTTTACTGGTTAAATGCAGGAATCAGAGAGCCCGAGCTGTGTTCCAGCCGCTGAGTCTGTGCAGCAGCGTCACTTTCGCCACTCCATACTGACCTGTCTCTGAGCAAAGTAAGGCCGTTCCCAAGAACAGGAAAGCTTGGAGAGACACCTGGAGATTTGGCCCAGGTTGGAACGTCGGTGCAGCACAAAGCCTGACCTTTCCACCTGGCTTGATGAAATAGTTGTCTCTGTGTTGCTGGTTTCCAGCAATATGCCAGCAGCCTCAAATGAAGATTCCCAGAGGATCTTTGCTATTGCATTTGTGCCTACATGTGTGAGTTCTTCTGGTGTTTTGGAGGTGGAAAATACCCAGCCCTTCCAGCCCATCCTAGTGCGCCGTTGAAGTGTTGCTTCCAATAAAACGTAAAATATTCTGTTCTTATTCCCAGCTGATCCTTCCCTTCCTGATCATCTTCCTAATAGCCTTTTTGAGACAAAACACCGGTGTAGTATTTGGTCCAAATCTTAATCTTCCTTATGTATCATCCCATCTTAAATGCCTAATAATCCCCCTCTTTTCCTCTTCGTTCTCTTACTACTTATATGGCTGATGTACTTCTACTGTTCAGTTTAATAACTGTGCGCAGGGGTATTTCCTGCTGTATTCTCAGCTTTCCATTGGTGTCAAGGGGGTGAAGAGACCTTTTATAAATTTTGCATACAGCTTACCTTAAATGCACTCGCAATGGAAAAGGTGACTCATTCTTCTCCTTTAAAAGAAAGTCCGTGTTCACCACTACAGAACTAGGCTATTTCTTCATAAACAGAAGTAAACGACGACTACAATCCCTGTCATCGTTACCATCCTGAGTGCCTTTTTGGGTAGGATATACTGATAGCAGCAGAGGTGTTAAGTTCTAGTTTCTTGGCAGCAATATTATATCATTTATTATTCCAGTTGTCATTCAGAAAACATCTCCTGTCTTCTGTATCTTGATGATCTACATCAGATTTAATCCTTGTTTGATGTTTGAGAGTAGGTGTGCAGACAGGCCCTTCAAGAGCAACTTCTTGGTGAATAACCAGGTCTCCAAAAATTGTGGGAAGCCACGACTGAGCCACAGCCAGTCTTTCATTGAAAGTGAAAATAATTCTAAAAGTGAAAGGTCATTTTCAGCCCTTTTAAGTGCTGGAAGAGACA